GATGGTTAATTATCAAAAGCCAAAAATGATTAATCCCGTTGGTACCCCTATGCAATTATCACAGATGGTACGATCCGTTCGACCAGGTGCAGGCAGCAAGCTGACTAGTGTAGTGAGACCACGCTTTCGTGTGGTGTGTTGTGCGTGACTTCTCTCCAACTTTTCGGGTAAATTTTCGGCTTTTTGTCCGCAAATTATCCGTCTCAAGTGTACAGTATATCGTCTGGGCGTTTCCAGGTCGGATGTGTGCCGTTCTTTGGATGTTTGAGGGAGAAACTTCGTGGCGCTGGCGGGGAGGAGTTTGGAGACAGGAAACGAAAATGGCGACTACCATGGCGGCGTGGTGCTGAAAAAGACTCGTTCTTGCGAGGTAAAGACAACAAATTAGCTCCTCGAATGTACGTTTGTACTTCCAACAAACCTGTAGCAACAGACCACGTTATAATTAGGTAATAATATGTTAAACGTTATACTCCGTAGAAATTTGCGTTTTGTGGATATGGATATGTCGCACACAAAATTATATTGTGGGCCATTTTGTACTTGAATAATTCGGAGGTTGTTTTCATGGCTATCGTGGTTTTGGGGAACACTGAATATATTTCTTCCGTGTTCGTTAGCATTGAAAAAAGCTAGGAGCAAATTTCGCAGCTAAAACTGTTACAAACACGTTTTTGTTGTTGGAATTTTCCACAGTTTGGCTCAGTGAACACCTTTTGGAACGTACCGCACGTGTGCATAATTAAACCCTCTCAACGTTCCCGCCGTAAACAAGACTTCCCAAGGCTATAATTAACTGGGTGCACCCAAAATTAAATATGTGCACAAGTGAAAATACATGTAGTTTAATTTCTGTTTTATTGCTGGTTTATCCTTGCTTGTGAATAAGAGGTTGTCACATAACCCATTGGTATTTTACTGGATTTTATAATTGATTGCCAAATTATATCTGTTATTGTATGAAGCAGTCACTGTGGTTGCACTGATTTGATTTTGAGGATGAACTATGCAATCTTGGTCTTTATTGTATTATTTTAAATGATACAATACAATCAAACAATGGAAAGATAAGTACAAGCATACCATAATATAGTATGTGTTAGTCCTTATCTTTCTATTGTTTAATTGTACGCAACTGTGACCACCATTTTCGTGGCTTATGTATTTGACATTGTAGTTTTTAATACAAGTACACAATTCAATAAACAAATCACTATAGAAACCTTTTTCGTTAAGCTTAACAGTGTAACAAAATTCTGTGTCATAATACTCATATGTAAGGAAGAATAGGGCGTATTCACATGACGTCATCACACTTGCCCCCCGTGCGCCAGCATGTTGAAGTACATCCCCAACTCAGCAATGTTTTGCCAAGAAAGTCCATGGAAATTGTCACTTATGTGTATTTGGCTCTGGAAAGGACTCGTTCACATAGATGAGTTCAAGGCTTACAGTGTTTCGAGGCCGACAAAGATGTACCAGGTAAGTACTAGATAGTGAATGTTTTGTCTACATGTGTGACTACATGTCCTTTGACAATTGAATTTCTCGTCAGTAAAATCAGGGTTTTGATGTTGGGACTAAAGTTGAATGTGGTTTATATAAAGTTGTATGTTGTGTGATATAATTTCTTGCTAGACCAATTGTTGTTTTCTATACAATGACTTTTGTGTCTCCCATTTTCAAGATGCGGACCCGAAGCCTGGTCTGAGCGGAAGAACCAAACTTTTATGGACAGGGCTGTGTGAAAGAAGATGGGGAGGTGTGAGTATGGTTTCTTTATTAACACGAGGCAACATGCCACATGTGCACATTGCACACTCACATTTCTCTTTTGCCCAGTTCACTCTACTCTGAGGGTCTGCATGCCTTTTGTCCATGTGGACCTGAAGCCTGGTCTGAATGGAAGGAAGAACCAAACTTTTATGGACAGAGCTGTGTGAAAGATGCGGAGGTGTGAGTATGGTTTCTTTATTAATACGAGACAACACTCCACATGCCGTCAGTTGCAGATTGCACATTCACATTTCTCTCTTTTGCCCAGTTCACTCTACTCTGAGGGTCTGCGTGCCTTTTGTCCATGTGGACCCGAAGCCTGGTCTGAATGGAAGGAAGAACCAAACTTTTATGGACAGAGCTGTGTGAAAAATGCGGAGAATGGGTTCTTTATTAACACGAGGCAACATGCCACATGCGCTCATTGCACACTCACATTTCTCTCTTTTGCCCAGTTCACTCTACTCTGAGGGTCTGCATGCCCTGAAGCCTGGTCTGAACGGAAGGAAGAACCAAACTTTTATGGACAGAGCTGTGTGAAAGAAGATGGGAGGTGTGAGTATGGTTTCTTTATTAACACGAGACAACACTCCATATGCACACACTTGCACTCATATTTCTCTTTTTTTCGTGAGGAGCCATTTAACGTTTATTGTAGCTGGCAACTTCTATCTCATGTCAAGCAACACTGAAAAATTCTTCATATTGTATGGTTGAATGCCAAATTACCCCTAAATTGTTGCTTCAGACCTTTACACTTGAATTCTTCTGCCGAAAAACTTTGCATCTAAGCCGGCTGCATGAATTCCACATTGTTATCCTCTTCATATTGTATGAATCCAAAATTGCCCCCAAAATTGTCGCTTTGGACCTGTCTTTACACTTCAATTCTCCCGCCGAAAAAGTTCGTATCTTAGCTGACCGCATTAATTCCTTAGTCATCCTCTTCGTATTGTATAAATGCCAAATTGCCCCCCAAATTGTCGCTTTAGACCTTTCTTTACACATATTCTCCCGCCGAAAAACTTTGTATTTTAGCTGGCCGCATTAATTCCTTAGTCATCCTCTTCGTATTGTATAAATGCCAAATTGCCCCCAAGATTGTCGCTTTAGACCTTTACATTGAAATTCTCCCACCAAAAATCTTCGTATTACAGCCGGCTGCATTGTTGTCATCGCCCCAAAAATTGCAGCTTTAGACCTTTTACACTTAAATTCTCCCGCCAAAAAAATTAATTGGCACCCTCACCTGGTTAATTAATTGGATTAAGTTTTCCCGCCAAAAAACTTAGTATATAGAACACTCTAAACTTGAACTTGTGCCCCCCTCCCACACTTCTTCCACAACTCAAGAGTATGTTAGTTACACTGTTCTCTGGACTTCTTCGAACATGTAGTCACCACATTCTGCTACACAAGCACTTTCTTGATCGAGTGCAGTTTTTCTACCACTTAGAGTTTAGAATAATCTCTTACTCTCCTGGTCGGTCAATGCACTAAGTGTACTCCCCGGGGATGTCTTTTCGGAGACATTGATGCTTCGACACATCAGTATACCAGTGCAATTAACCAACCAGGAGAGCGAGAGATTATTCTAAACTCTAAGTGGTGGAAAAACTGCACTCGATCAACAAAGTGTTTGTGTAGCCAAATGTGTGTGACTACATGTTCGAAGAAGTCCAGAGAACAGTGTAACTAACATACTCTTGAGTTGTGGAAGAAGTGGGGGAGGGGGGCACAAGTTTAGAGTGCTCTATATACTAAGTTTTTTGGCGGGAAAACTTAATCCAATTAATTAACCAGGTGAGGGTGCCAAATAATTTTTTTGGCAGGAGAATTTAAGTGTAAAGAAAGGTAGGTCTAAAGCAACAATTTTTGGGGCAATTTGGGAAGCATATGATACAAAGAGGATGACTCAGGAACTCATGCACCCGGCTTAGATACGAAGTTTTTCGGCAGGAGAATTAAAGTGTAAAGGTCCAAAGCGACAATTTGGCATTCATATGATACAAAGAGGATGACTAAGGAATTAATGCGGCAGGCTAAGATACAAAGTTTTTCGGCGGGAGAATTTAAGTGTAAAGGTCTGAAGCAACAATTTAGAGGTAATTTGGCATTCAACCATACGATATGAAGAATTTTTCAGTGTTGCTTAACATGAAATTGAAGTCGCCGGCTACAATAAACGTTAAATGAAAAGAAGAGAAATTTGAGTGCAAGTGTGTGTATGTGGAGTGTTGTCTCGTGTTAATAAAGAAAGCATACTCACTCCTCCCCATCTTCTTTCATACAGTCCTGCTTACAAAAGTCTGGTTCTTCATCCTGCTGCAGTCCAGTCTCCGGGTCTGCATCTTGAAGACAGAGAAACAAAAGTCCCTGTATTTACAACAGCAATTGGCCTTACTAATGCAAGATATTTTGTCACGCAACATGCAAGTTTATGACAGTAAGAATGGAGCTAAATGCTGGCTGTAAAGGCCCAAAGCACACTGCAGAAAGAGTGACATTCTGTATCTCAAATGACAAAGTGAAATGTGGGACCAAGGAGGCTATACTGGAGACATTATACAATGTAACCTCTTTTGTCAGATTATTGTTTGAAGATGTGAAAAGGAGTCTAGAAAAGTGTGACATACTATGTGAAAGCTTTAAAGACTGGGTGATTGGATTATAGGATAGAAATTTATTAGCCTGGGTGTGTTGCTGAACATTTCAAGAAGGCTTTCGATAGGGTGTGGCATGATGGGTTAATGGTGGGTGCTGAGAGGTTTCAACATCAAGGAAGGTCTAGTTCAGATCGTCAAGGCCTTGTACAAGAATGCAACCAGTGCAGTCCTCCTGAACAACCAAACTGGGAAGTTCTTTAGGACAACAGTGGGAGTCCGGCAAGGGTGTTTGTTATCACCAGTTCTATTCAACCTGTACTTGGAGAAAATCATGCAGGACACACTCCAAGACTACTACACGTCCATTTCCATCGGGGGAAGACGCATCTGCAACCTACGATTTGCAGATGACATAGACTTGCTCGGTGGTAGTAATGCTGAACTCCAGGAACTTACAGACAGGCTTACTCAGAGTGCTGATTCCTTTGGCATGGAAGCTAGCACAGA